GTGATTACTGTGAGAGCTGTAGAGGTCTGTGAACTCACTAAAGGTGATATGCTAGTCCTGAAAAAATGCAGCAGATTATTGCGTATCCATTGCCTAGTTCTTCACTGCAAGGTTCTAATCCCCAGTCACCTCCTCCCTTCGGTACCCTCCTTACGGTAGGCTGAGACTCCTGCCTGCCTGATCTCAACAGTGGTGGATTGATAAGGTCACCAGGTTAAAGCCCAAGGGTCAAGCCTGTGCTTAACATACAGCGTCAATTTAAACAGTCATTCTTTCTCTTTTCTGCTCCCTTAATTACTATGTAAATATTCCAAGTGAAGCAGAATATCTTGAAGAGGAGCCATTAATGACCTGAATTCAGAATACTTTATAGCTTATTTATTGGAGTGTTCATCTGGGGAGTGCAACAGACAAGTCAAAATCTATCAGGTCTCTCATTTAGAGCAGAATGCACTGAGGTCGCTCACATCCCAGTTGAATTGCCCCAGCATCAATATCGTTATTTAATAGGGAAGAGCCTCTTTTTTTTTTTTAGCAGCACGACTAGCCCTCTGCTTTCTGCCCCGACTTAAAAAGGCATTTCACATTAAATATTTTACTTGATTTTTTTTTTGGTGCTATGGGCAGAACGTACTGTAATACATAAAATAACTATGAAACAACACAAATACAGAAAATTATTATTTTACATTTGCATTAGTCCGAATGAAGTAGGGGTATTGTTTGTTTTGCTTCTGGGGTAGTGGGAGGTATAGCTGTTGAAAAACCATGTGCCCATCCTTAACCGTGGACTTCTATGCTTTTATGCCTTAAGGAGATCTCAGCTCACAAATACAAAAGGTACTTTATCTAAGCTGCCAGGACTACAAGCTCACCCTGGACGCTGAAAGTCACACAGTGTTCTCCTCAAAGTTGTCAGCAATTGTCAAAGGTTTATTTATATCTGTGAGACCCTATGGGTCTTCAGATTTAATCCTAAGTGAAAAATATGAAACCAGAGGAACAGTAAGAAACAGTAAGTTTTAGCTATTTGGAATTTAGCAATTAAATCTCTTGTTGTAAAAGTGACATTTGTGACCTGATGGGGTATTTTTGTGTGTGTGAGAAATTGTGACGTGGAGTCAGAGGTATATATCCCCAGAGTAATCTTTTTATAGAAATGTATATATAACATTTTAAAGTTCCCATCCTCATTCAAAATCAATAGCCGTCACAACTCAAAGTGCCAGGAGTCTCTAGCAGACCAGTGGTGGTGGATTAAAATCAAATGGCGGAAACTGTAAGAGTCTTCAGCTGCACCCGCAACTCCTGTGATGGATATTGCCTCCCCCAAAGCAGGGACAGCTGATCAGCTCATGAATCTCTTGATTGACTGCAGTGTTCATCTAAGTATACTAAACTGACTTGGAGTCTGGTTGGCTGTAATACAGACAGCGAAATTTTTCTTGGGAGAGAAAATATGTATTATACGGGCAGCAAGGTTGTCTGGAGAAGTTCAGGAATTTGATTTTAACCTGTTGCTGAATGACCCCTGTCAATTTTAAAAGTAAAAATTGATAGGCTTCATCAGGTGATTTCAAAGCACCAAAAATGCCTGTTTTGCTCTTTCCCCCACTGGGCACCTGAAACGCCACTGACCGTTAGGGCCGAAGCTCTGTTTACCTTTGCCACTTTTCAGAGAAAGAGGAAAATTGCTGCTGGCTGAATTGGTGGAAAGACTGCTCATGTGTAGATCCCTTCTTTCTTTACTGATCTAGGTGTGTAAATAGCATCACTGTAAGTTTGGGGAGGAGGTTAACACTGGTAGGAGATGGACAAAAATGCACACAACAACTGGGCACTGCAAAGCAGGGACCAGACAGAGAAAAGTGTTGGGATAGCACCATGGGTACAGTAATAACAGAGTGGTAGGAGGGAGGGCAGTTGTCTTGGTGTTATTGCCTCTTCTTTTGGAAGTAATGAAATTACAATGGTATCAGTATACAATCCGCCTCACATGAGATTACGTAGCAGCAAACAGACTTCCTTAGTAGTCCTCAACTAAACTCCTCCAGCCAACTTTGTGTATATTAGTAGCTAGGGACATAAAAATCTAGTTTCTATTTTCAGTGCTTTAGGGCATCCTGTCTGGGTTCCTCCACGCAGTTCAGAAGTTACTGTCCTGTAGATGATGTCTACCGGTCCTGTGAGGATGTCTCTGATGCCATAAAACACCAATAACAACACTGGAGACCTTTCTTTAGCACCCAAATCATACTGCAAGCATCTGCATCACAAACCTCTAGCAGCATAACAAAATTTTTCTTAGCTTGACCTCCAGGCAAACTTGTGTCAATAGCTGGTCACTCCCACTTCAGTGAATGTAACGCTGCTCCTTTTATTGTATGACCTCCTGAATTTTTAAGAAGACATCTGACTTGGCTATATCAGCAATAGATAACCTTCTACCATAGTTAAGCTTTGTCTCGCAGCATTGCTCAGAATGATAAATTGTGGGAAACTATTTTCTTCACCAAACAAGGCACACAGCAGTCTGAATTTGAAAAGTTGCTTATAGTAAGTAGGAAGAAACTATTTTTACATAGCAACAGACCTAAGGGAATGATCCTTTGAATGGTAATTAGATGTATATGTCTATATCTATATGCACACATAGAGTTTTAATTGCTTGTATTAAAACTGCACATTAGTATGTCCTTGGAGATGTGCTGTGATACTAATCACATTTGTCAAGATGAGACAGTACTTTTCTCTCTTACACATCATAAACTCTGACTGATATCCCTAAGGGAAAAAAATGCATAATGTGTCACTTATGACCTGTTGCATGAACAAATCACTTGCATTTCATATGCAGCAGGATAACAAAATGCTATTGATTTTGAATTAGAGTTTAGGAAACTGATCTTTATTGTTAGTTGTCACTTGGCAGATTTTTCCTCCTGCTGTGAAACGTTTGATTCAAAATTTATATTTGAAGAAATGGAAGCAGTGATAGTTTTACAATATACAAAAGAACATAAATTCTATCTTAGTAGACAGACATTATTCACAAGCAGAATAAACATTCAATAAATAAGACTAAATTTCAAATAAGTAACAAAAAACCTGTAATATGCCAATCTTGTTCTGCTTATGCAATACTGCTCTTTAGCAGAGCAGCTTTCTGGGGCTTGAAAGAAGGCACTGATCAGTGTCGGGATGCTTGTGCAGAAACAAGCTGAAAAGGAAGATCTAAGAAAAGTACACACAAATGCAATGCACTATATAATAAACAAAAGTAATGTAGAATAATCCAGGGTATGAATTTGAACACTACAGATAAAACAGATTAAGAGTAGGGTGCCTCTGACGCCAGAATTGTCCTTCCCTATTCTACAGTTGTATGTAAGATATATAAAGGTCATTTCAGTGTCACTTTAGACTATTGTTCTCCCTTTCTACAGAAAAAGAAACAAAATCAATATTCCTTAGGATAAGGATTGGAAGATTTATTAGGCCATTTTATTTAGGAAGAAATATATCTACCTACAGGTAGTATCAAGGATGTAATTCTTCATTTATTTCTTAAAGAATATCAATGTAGTGATTCTCAAATAGAGGCTACATACATATTTTCATGCCAAATAACTGAAAGTCTTCACAAGCCTTATTCCTTAGCTCTACTGAAAAGATTTGCCATTTTCTATGTGAAAAGAGGAACTGAATCTGATTATCTTTGTATAGAGCAACTCTGTCACTTGCCTTACCTCTGTCATCGTAGAAAATTATCAGCTTTATAGGTTGTATCAGCTGTGACAGAAGATAGGCAATCTCAGGGTGAGAAGCAAAGGTATAAGCAAACCAGGTAGCACCTGATTCCTTGACATTTTAAATGTCTATGGGCAAGGGTCCCTGTAATCAGTGACATTAATTTTCGAAAGTTCTTATCATCAACCAGTCCAGAAACATATGTAGCATATCTATTAATATTTTAACAGTAGCTTGCAAGTAGATAATGTAAACTAAGTTAATGGAGGTACTGTGCTCTTCTACCATTGTTGACTGCAGAGTTATGAATACTTTTACTATTGCTATTATATATACTGGAAAACAAACACCAACCAAGACTGTTTAGATTATCACTTTCTTTTGTAAGGAAGACTAATATCAGAATTTTCAAATGTTGTCAGGTTTCATTTACCGTAATTCTGGTTTGTGTCCAGAATTGACATTTCTTAATACCCTAGGAAGAATTAGACAAAGTCACTACTGTTAACTGTCCATTAAATAGTTAATGTGTGTCAACTATTTAAGTAGCTAGTGTGCATATTCACCCTCCTACCACCTTTCCAGTACCAAACCTATGTTTTCTGGAATTAAGCCTGCTTTGGCATTGTGATTCTTGTTTCTTAGGAGATTATTGCATTAAATAAAAAATGCCACAAAGGTATTTAAAAATCAGCTACACACCTCTTTGCAACTTATAAGTATACTGGATATGTAAATCGTTTGTGTTTCTGTTAGATGAAATGGAGTATATACATTCCTATTGCCATCGATACATGTCCTTGACAGCAGAGATCCAGCCAAACCTTGAGTGATGTAGGCTCATTAACTCCATTACAGTCAATGGAAGTACACTTAATCACATCACCTGAGAATCTGGCCTACAGCCTGTAACAAGACAGCCCTTTGGAGAGTAATAATATTTTATGCTTTCATCAATCACTCTCCTAGGTGTGTAGCTATTCGTTCCATACTAAAAATGTCATATTACAATCAAAAAGGCAAGTCATGGCTATTTTGCTATGTTTGCTCCCAAATGAATTTTACTAAAAGTGGTCCCAGTTCAGGAAAAACTCCTTGCAGAAAGCACAAGAATCTGTCTTTAATAATGCAATATTTACATTTATTTTAAATGTTCTGAGTACAGAAGAATTTCATAAGAACATTAATATTCTTGATTTTTAGGCTCCAAGTGTTACATTCTATTTCTTCTGCTTTGACTATTTGCCTAGGACGTGTGTCTACAACCACGACGATAATAGATGGTAAGAACGGATCCGTTCCCTCACCATCCATGAAAGTTGGCAAGAAATCAGTTACAGAAGACCTTGTGACAACGTTCAGCTCACCAGCAGCATGGCTTCTTGTTGTTGCTCTGATTGTTACCTGGTCAGCAGTAGCTATTGTAATGTTTGACTTGGTGGATTACAAAGCCTTTGCAGGTAATATTCAGCATATTCTGTTTGACATCTTGTATATTAAAATTTAAAAATTTATTAAGGAATGTGCGTTATGTAAATTTTCATGTCTTCTGTCTTCTTGGGGCCAGCATAGTGTCTCTGCTGAGTTTACTAAGAGAGGAGATATTGTGAGAAATGTCAGAATATATTAGTTTACACTTCACACATCTTTATAATATGAATCTCTCCATTTTGCAGCCCATCCTCATCCTGGAAAATGTGTATGTTGACAGTAATATAATATGTATATGACCATGTGTGGTCAGATTTCTGTCTTGAAATTTCTATATAAAATTATTTCAAGAAAAATAAAATTAAATTTAATTCACATTTTCTGAAATATATTTTAAAATTTTTCATAGTTACCTTGAGTCTTCTGACATCTGCTTACGTAGTTCAACAACAAGAAATATGCAAAAGATCATCTCTAAACATGCTAACCCTAAATTCATCTTCAAAAACCACAAGCACAGAGGACCAGATTCTTAGCATCAGCTAAGTCACACCCCTGTCTTCAGTAAGGCAGTAAGTCTCGCCTAGTTTAAGACCTGATAAACTGACTGAAGAAGATCAAGTTTTGTGGTACATATTAGTTATTGAGGGTAAACATGAAAAAGAAGTGTGTGCTATAAGGGCTGTGACTGTGGATGAGGAATGCGAAGAAAGGAATAGGAAACAGAAATTATTTCATTGTTACTTGACTTTTATGCCTTATGTCTGGCAATGATGGAAAATAGAATCAATTAAGTACCTATGTTTGTAAAGGGTGTACAGTGTTCTGTAAACCACTTCAACAGCAAAACTTTTGTGAGGCAACCAGGCTGTAATGACTGGGAAACATTTAAGTGAAGCAGAAAATAAATTATTAGGGTCCTTTTCTTTCTTAAATAAGAACTTTAGATTCAAAGTTATCGTATCTGTCACAATAATTAACTAGGAATTGAAATTCAGACTTCAGCCTTTTAATTCAAAACAAACTGAGCTGATGTTTCACAGTTAGTTTCCTGAACTTTATCAGTTTACTGATAAAATCAAAGATTTTTTGTCCTGCTGTATATCAATATTGACCTCAAAATTTATTTAAAAAGCTTTTGAGACATAGATGGAACTTGAAAGAAGCCAACCAATCCTGGATCAATGGATGACGTAGAACCTTGAAATGTGGAGAAAAAATATCACAAACCTCTTTTAAATGTTTTGCTTCTCATTTGTCTATGTTTTCAGAAGGAATTCACTTGAGTCACAGCAAAACAATGTTCCTTTTGAGTGATCCTCCCAAAATAGACATGAGATTTCAATTTGTACACAACACACCTAATGTTACAACACAGATGTCAGCCAAGAGACAGAACTCACCATATTGTGCTTTTAATTTTCCATATTAACAATTAATCAATCAATCAAAGAATCAATCGAGTTCTTAACAGGTTTTCAATAAGCAGTCAGGAACCAGGGCGTAACTCAGGCAAAACTCCTAAAATAAGTGATTCCTGAACTGGCTGTCAGCTCATGCATGCTCGATATACTAGTCAGGATAATGTTAAGCAATTAGAATCTATATTCATATGGGAGACTGAAAGAAACTTTCTAAGCAGATGGAAATCTGATGTTCATGTTGTATTGGTTAAATGAGCTTAAATCCCAAAGTTGTCAATGGAAACTGACATTTTCAGATCAGGCTGCAGAAATAAAAAATGTAAAATTTAATCTGCAGGGTGAGTTTTTGTTTTGTGGAGATCTCTGAGAGATGATACTTCAGTATTTTGAGTTCATGAGTTAGTTTCTTTTCCTTCCCAAAGATATTTCTGTTCCTAAGTGATTAATTAAGCTAGGATTTAAACCAGGTCTCAACGGTGGAATATTAAGAGAAGGAACTGCTCTGCTTCTTCAGACCAAGATTTATTAGACTGTTTTATGTATTTACATAAATATAACAAAGGCTACATAGCTCTTATCACGACCCCTGGGTTTCAACTCCGGAGTTCCTACTCAGTCTGGTTTTTCTAGGTGAAACCCACTGAATTACAAAAATTCAATGGAAACAGCTGAAGATTTCACAGAGGACCACCTAGCTGGCATTATTGATACTAGAATGATTTTCACCCTCTGACAGTTTTGCTCTTTGCCTCCTTTTCAGACAGAAAGTAGTGCCTTCTTTTCAGACAGAAAGTAGAATTTGGAGCATATTTTTAAATGACTCCTTAAATCTAAAACCCAGAGATATTTTCTCTTGGGTTGGGCACTGCCCTTTGAACAACCGGAACTGCATAAAAAAAGTGAGCAGCTATTTTCAGGACTGTAAGTTTATTTTTGCAAGCATGATTAAAATTAATTTCCTAGTTTTTTAATGTAAATGAAAGATGCCAAAGAAAATATATTCAACTGTATATTTTTTATTCTATAAACCACAGAATATTCAGTGTATTTTTTCCTTAACACTTGCGTTTCATAAGCCAGTGCTGTCAATTTCTTTCCTATTTCTTTACCTGAAGTTCCATGAAGTTCAAGTTTAGAAAGTATGCATAGCATACGAATGAGGCAAGCTGAGAGAGCTGCACTCCATTGATCTAGAGAAGAGGAAACCGAGGGGTGACCTAAGAGCAGCCTGCAGCTTTTTGAAGGGCAGTTACAAAGATGACAGAGGACAAATAGTTACCAAGGTGATATGCTTGGTACATCAGGTGATATAACAAGGGACATATGGCCAGAAATTCCTGTGTGAGAGATTCATACTGAACGCCAGGGGAGAAAAAAGTCTTTACCGGGAGGTCAGTGCAGCACTGAAATCTGTTGCCTAGAGGGGCTGCAGATTTTCCATTCTTGGTAATGTTCAGGACTTGGCCAGATGGCCATGGCTGACTGGATCCAGTGTCAGCAACAGTCCCTCACTGAGATGGATTACATTAGACAATCTTTGGAGATTCCTACTGATCTACATCTATGAGATTGCAAGATTTCATTGAAACATCTGTTAGAAGGACATAAGGCATTTACAAAGCACCTAGCCAGAGGTCTCAGTGGGGACACAAAGATAACTGAGGGGCAGCTTCTCCCACCCTTGCATGTGAGAAGTGAACCTATAGACCTTTGTAGTCAGGATTTCACTCACCCATTCATACAGTTAATCCTGTTGAATTTTGTGCAGATGTTGCACAATAATTCCTAGTGGGATGACTTAAAAACATACTGTGTACATCTTCAGAGCCAGCCCTTTGCCAGATTTGCGGGAAGTAAGGACCTGAGCTGGGAGAGCTCTGGGAGAGCTGACTAAAGTGCTACACACCTCCACACTGGGGCTGGCTCTGACCTACGGGTTCCCACTGGAGACTTCCACTATGCTTTTCTGCCACAAATGACCATGTCCGTAGTAAAGCTACTAGTAGTGACTGTATTGCACAGGACCGACTGCGGTAGAAAACAGGAGAGGTTTGAAATGGTAAACCAGGTTGGGAACTGTGTGGCTGAGGAATATACACAGATCTGTTACTCCTGATTATACTACAGAGCTACTAGCCTCTAAAGGAAGTGCTACACCCTAAATTATGACTTTACCTAGATGCACCCTGAAATTACACAGAGACTCATGGAGCTAAGTAGAAACACAACAGAATTGACCTCAGCAGGCTAGGAATTATTTTAGAGTTGAACTCAAACATTGCTTTGTATTTGAACAATTACCAATTTTGTTGTCATTATAGTAAAGGTAAATAATTCAAAAAAATTATACTATTAGTATATGCATTTTATCTCTTATGCACTCTTTTAATTTGTTGGTACAAACTTCATGTTGCCTCTGTGATTACAGGGTGCCAACCCATAGATTTTGCTTTTTGATTACTATGGTTGCATGTTCTTTTAGAAGTTAACTATCAATTTTAGAAATTTTGACAATTTATACAACATGATATTTGTCCCATGAATAACTATATGGAAAGGAAGTGTTTTATTTCATCCCAAAATATATGTAGTAAGTTCCTTTTGTGGAGGGCCTCTCTTCACTGTCTGAAAAGCAGACTTCAGAACTGAGGGAGGCTGAGGTTGGATAACTTCTGGGTTTTAGGTAGCTGAAGTTAGATGACATAAATTCAAGCTCCTCTCATATAAAGATTAATTTTTGTGGAATTTTACACATCCGAAACATGATTACTGTAAATTCTATAGTACTCTGTAGTATTCAGGAAGTGCTGGTTATAATAGAAAATATTGCACGAGGACCTTGTGTAATGGGGTGCATGTATAAAGCTGTGCCTCCTTGGTGCTTATGTGTCAGTTTGTTCAGAGGTTAGAACAGAGACAGCATCTACAAGTCAGCTTTGGCAGTGGAATTTGAGGAAAGTATGAGCCAATAATTAGATCAGTGCTGAAAGATTCACCCCTGTTCTATCTATCCAGAAGAAGGAAATTGCAGTGTTTCGCTTTAGTGTGTTATGTTCATTCCTTTGAGGAAAGAAATGAAAGCTTGCATTCCTATCATGCTGTGTTGTACAACTATAAACATGAGCGAAATATTTCTAATGTGGTACGAAGGTGACATGCATTACAAAAGCCTGAGATAAGAAACTATGAATCTCATGCAGTATGTAGCATATATGAATATGCAAGAAGTAATCCACCGCTTTGGAAGATGTCTTGTAGATTCTCAGAATTTTCAGAAACGCAGAAAAGTGATTTATTGTATTTTGGTGTGTGCTTTGCAGCAGTTTGTTATTACAATCATCCTTTGTGTTAGAAAAGACACCTTGTTAATTGGCTTCATAATTCATGAATGTATTTCACGCATTTCTTGTACACATAACTGGATTATATATTTTAATTGGTAAATGTAACTAAATAATTTAAGATTATTTTAGTCGTAAAGATTGAGTGCCCATCAATCCACATTTGCTAATGGGCTAATAAAGTGTTCAGAATTCCCTGCCACCTCTGTGACCAATTACAGCTAATTAACACCGCCCTGATTTCAGCTCCAGAATGTTCAATATTCAGAGTATATTGGTGGTGAGTTAGCCAGTCACCTAAAGGCCAGACTAAATCAAGCCTAATGAAACCTCACCCAATCTGTGAAACCCAAATCTATCCACAAAATACTCTAAGTGAAAATACAGCACACACACAAAACACGGTGAGCTTGCCACCTTGTTGTGACTTCTTTCATAAAAGAAAAAAGAACAGGCTCTTTGTTGTGCATAATTCAGTTTGCTCAGCCATAAAGAGGCTTTTTAGAGACCTGCAGCAAAGGCGAATCTCTGTGGGGGTAATGCCTGTCAACAACAGGAATGGGGAGCAAACAGCACATGGCGGATGGAGGCACAAAGCTCCCAGCTCCACATGAAACAGCAGGGATTCCAGTGAGATATTCTCTTTAATGCCTCCCTCTCACCCCCCTTTTTTTAAGTTAATGGCAAAACATCAAAACACCTGGCCAAATTTTTCTGGGGTGTCCCATATGAGTTTCTGACTAACACAGTGTGAAGTCACAATTTCCCTGCCCTAGCTTGTGGTCACCTCTATTACTGTCTTGTAGCCACAGAAAGTTTTTGCCTGGCCTTGGGTAGTCAGGATGATATACCTGTTAATATTCTCCAGCAGTGGAAAGCAAAGGAAAAAAGAACTAGGAATCATATATTCACATGAAAAAAGGCACAAGAAGGTAAAGAACAGGACTCCAATGTATAACTGACACACAGACATTTGTTTTCCCTGTCTCCTGAATGATAAAACTGTAAGGTGCAAAACCTGTTAGGTGCCGAGCATTTGTTTGTCAGCAAAATATGAATATTCTACTGGTTTTGTTTTCTTTTTTTGTGAGATAATCATTATTAGGAATATTCACATCCGTTTTTCGCTGGGATTGATCATGCTGCAGTCAGTCTGTTGGGCTCATGTTCACAGGAAACTTTTAAGAACTGCAAATGAAGAGTGTAGTTATATTTACTCTTGTATTTTACATCAGTATATTCACCAGTTTTAAACCTGATAATACCTTTGCTCTTATTCAGGAAAAAGAATTAACTTCTGGTTTAGTTTAAAATAACAGCAAATTTAATGGAACAAATAATTTTGTCTCTTGGTGCAAGAGGTATTTCACAGCCTCACCAAAATGAAATGATTGGGAAAAGTTTCTCCATACTTGCAAAACCCTGGACAAATCTCCTACAAACAAAGGAGTGGGATGCAAAAAAAAGTGTTGGACCTTGCTATGCTCACCTTGGAACTTATCAAAGCAGTGCTGCAGTCTTTTGAAATACATATTCCTCTATTTACAGTTGTCAGTCCAGAACATGACTAAACAGGTTACTCATTTCAAAGCTCTTAATGCAATTCTTTATTGAATTGTATGTGACTTGCACTGATGTACCCAAAACCTACCAAACAATTATTTTCCACTGCCTTTCATAATGATAAAGACAATTTAAAGGATTTAAACACAATTACAGTTAAAAGAAGGGCTGTGTAGATGACATCTTACTTCCCATGTTTGACTCATCTGTAACAAATATTACAGCTGAGTTATAAAACCCTAGAAAATGAGTTTATAATGGAAAGAATGACAGTCTATGAAGCACTGCAATGCTGCGAGAACTGTGTCCATCCCAAATGGTCTAGCATATATAAGATGACAAATTTTGATAGATTAAACTTCATGAGGTCATGAAGTTGAAAACACAAAATTTCAGAAACTGCATCAATGGATAGCAAAGGATCTAAGAAAAGAAAGGTCTTACATGCTTAAATGCACTTCGTGGGATACAAAACACAAACCAAAATACTGGTCCATAATGGTATCTGTGAAATTTTTAATTTTAAACAAACAAGCAAAGCCAGTAATTCATTTCCGTAACAATTGCAGTAATGTAATTCTTTGGTTATTTGCTGTTGAAGATATCAAAATAGTTCAACCAGAATGAACTACATGTAATATATTCTGTTCAGCAATAGAATATGTTTGTTACTTGAGAAAATACCTTTACCTTATTTAACTATGTTTTTCCATTGCTCTGATTCGTACTGTATTATCTCACACCTACAGTGTATTGTTTTTCTTTTCAATGAACTCCAATTTCTGCTTCATAACAGCAGACCCACAGAGATCAAGTAACTCCTCACTTCACTCCGTAACTGCTCCCTTTAGTCAAGAGACAGCTGAGGATGTTCATTATTGCTAAGAGTGTTTCTTCCTTTTTTTTTGTTGGCCTTTCTGGGGTCCATCCTGTTGCCATCCGCTATAGCCACCTGTTCACAACATTGCGATGATCCCTGTTTACCACCCGGTAAAGACATTCTGCCTGCAGTATTCTGAATGCGCGTGCACGCTTGCGGTCTGCTGGCTGGGGATAACAAAGCATGGGCATAAGCAGAGCGCCGGGCCGCAGCGGCACTGCTTCTCTGCTAATCCCCAGACCTGGCTGGCTGGGGCTGCACCGCTCGTTGCAATAGCCTCCTCCCGACTTTCATGTCATACTTGAAACAGATCTGTCAGCTGAGAGACTCCCTCAGTCAAGAAATTCCCAGGAAATGATGGCAAGCCGAGAGATACTTATTTTACGCTCATATGTGCCCTTTAAAACTGCCGCTGTACAGTTATTTAACAGCACTGCCTTTTTAACCTGAAGCTGAGATCTGTGTTCTTAGTCAGAGAATTGAATCTTTAGAATGAGAAAAAAGAAAGCTTCAAATTATTTTAGGCAAAATGTCTGTCTGTTTCAGAAAACACCACCTAATTATGGTCTGATCCATCAGTTCAGAAGCCTTTCAGCTGATATCAAATCAAGTCATATAAATTAAATGTAAAACCCATCCTAAACCTACATTCCTGTCCAAGTGTATGTCTTTATCAAAAGTACTTGAAATTACTTGATATTTCATGACACTTCATGAATTTCTTTCTAAATTTTGGCACGTACATTCTAGTTAGAACTACTTTGTTCTCATTTTGGGTAAAATGCCTTTGTACACTTTCAGGTGCGGTTTTCTCTATCGGCTTGACCTCAGTATAATTATCTAAGGCTGATATTGGAAAGAGTCAGGCAAAATTTATACTACAGACTGGAGTCTTCATATTTACAATTTAAGTACCTACAAAATGGAAATGACTGCATAATGCTGAGTCTGAGTTTTCTTTGACATTTTTTGTATACTTATAATTCAAGATACTGGTAATTCAAAACTAAATTATTATTTTTACACTTACAATTCAATGATACCCACCAGAGTTTGTCCTGAACCTTAGTGCTGTAAACATGACAAAAATGTTAGTCTATGAAACAGGAAGATAAGATCTAAGGAAACCCATGCTGATAAACTGGAATATTAATAATGGAAGACTTCATGTGTATATTGAGTTTTGTACGTTAGATACTGCTCTGCAGAAGACCACAGAGTAGAAACAAACTGCTACTAATAATAACAAACCTTAAAAATATATAAAATTTCAAATTAAAATACAGATGTCTCTATAAGGGAATATTTCACTAAAACTGGGATATATTTTATTATCGTAAACAAGTGTTAGGCTTTTGTATTTTATCAAACATGACAGAAATTCTGTCTTCATCAGCTGTATCTTATCAGTATCAATGAATTAGATTATATCTCATAGATCAATCTTTACACCAGACAATTACTATCATTTGTAATTTAATTGTATTCAATTCACTGGAGTCAAAATATGCAATTGATGAAAATCCAGCAATTATTAAGTAATTCGCTGCAATTCATTAAAAAAAAAAAGGCTTTAAAATAGGTTGAACACTGAGTATATTTTTAACTATTTGACAAGTAAAAAAGATTGATAGACAACTGCATTCCTGGCAGAGTTATTAAGACAGGAATAATGACTGAAGTGATTTGCACAGATAAGTCAATTAGTCACTTTTTGTTTTGCGCTTCACAGGAATAAATGACACAGACCATGAAACATAACCAAATTTGCTTGTTTTGATAGAACAAAACATACCACATGATTAATTAATCCCTGTTTCCAAAAGCCACAGAACCCATTATCCATCCTGATGAAAAAAAGGTTTCTTCTGTTCACAAAATACCACTAATTTACTGAAATGGCTTTGTCACTTTATGAAATTTATCTTCTGTCCCAAGAACATACCTAATGCTGATTAAAGGACTTTGGAAGTCTGTCATTGGTTGATTTCAAATAGTTGTGTTAAGTGTGAGTTATTAATTACCATTAAAGATATGAATTCTATTTTCAAATCAATCCGAGTTAAAATTATAAGCCAAGGAGAGTTCAAATGGAAGAAATTATTTGGTCAGGATTATTGTTCTCACAATTTTTATTCAAATTACTATTTCTGTACCTATAATTGTGAAGAGTTACAAACAAGTTTAACCGTTTATCTTTGATGTAATGATCCTGAAAGTCAGTTTGAAAAAGCATAGGGGGTTCTTAAAGAATTATTTTAACCAAATTTGAATATGTTTAGTAAAGAAAATCCAAACAATGCCGATATCTACAATAGGTAACAAATTCAGTTGATTTTTCATACAATAAGGTTTTGTTGAAATGTAGTATACAAAGTCTTTCAATGGCTGAGATTCTTTCTTTGTCAGCTTTAACTCTTCCAAATTTCAGCATTTGCCAGAATCTTCTGGAATTTTTTATAGCAAAGCATTGTTGGTGGTACCAGTGCTGTTTTGAAATGCAAGTAATTTATCAAGGTGAACAGCTGACCTGCAGTTAATTGTGAATGTAAATTTACAAATCTAAGTGCTTAGCCAAAGTGTACAATAACAAGCAGGGTTTAAATGTGAAATATCACCACTAATAGGATCTCTGTCACATAACTCCAGCATATGAAAATAAGGTGTCATGTCCATGCTAGATTTTCAGGCTTCCTTTCCTTCCTACTCAATGAAAAGGGATGGGCATCTTTGGAAATTAACTCATATAACCCTAAAATAGATGTCAGAGGAAGGCAAGAGACTCGCCTTCTGAAGGTCGCAATATGTCTTCCTGCACTGGCTTTTGAGGAAGTCTAGAAACCACCAAGGATTAAATACCTGGCTTTCAGGTACATTTGGCTGGATAGGATAATCTGAATTTAAGTTGTGATTAAATGAATTTACATACGGTCAACAAGAAATCTTTAGTATTAATTGCATGTTTCACTCCTGAGCTTAACCTGCTGAGTAACCATTCACTTCCTTTCCCCTCCTTCCTCCTTCCACAGACATTTAATATTTTTTCTACTACATTACCAAAGAGGAACAATTGGCTCAGTCCCTGTTTGCAAGTTCAGCAAAAGGTAGAACTTCACAGCCCATATCTATCTGAGAAATACTCTATCATCATAAAGGCTCTTTACAGTTTAAATTCAAGATCTTTCCCCTGCTGCTCCTAGCACAATAAAAGATAGATCATATATTAATTATACTTTATAGTTGTAAATTAGTTACAAACTATGTATTGCATACTATACAACATATGCTAGCAAGAGAAGTATATCGTGAGCTTAGATTATGAATAATTTGTGTTCTAAGGTCTGCCAAGAAATAAAGAGTCAGACAGAGGACAGCTAATCCAATCTGAATGTGTTGAATCCAAGACTATTCTAAAAAATTTCATCATACTGTACCTTTGCTGGACATCTGTAAATAGGAGAAAAATCTATATTACATCAAAATACCAACCTCAAATTTTAATATGAAAATCTGCATTCTCAGCTTCACTCTTGAAGCAAGAGTATGCAAATCCTCTGGAAATGGCTACCTTTCTTTGCATGTGTGTGAGGCAAATGACATCTCTCTACTTGTCATCCCCTGAATTGCGGTGTTTCCTTTGTTGCTTGTGTGTTTTGTTCTACTAGGGAAAGTACTTGCTGTTGTCAAAGTTCTCGGGACAGTAGTAATTTTCACTGCAGCATTGCCTGGTGTTGCATTCTTAAGAATTTTAGGACATACCATTACTGTTAGCACTACTTTTTAAAAATGTAGGAAATACAACAAAAGTTTAATGGAAGATCAATGCACAAGGAGACAACTTTCCAGGCCTGTGTCACTTGTGTCAGACCACAAGTGGATCACACAGTATTAGTTTGTATACAAAATTTAATTTTACAAATACCACTGAAGTGTCCTCTACACAGCCCCAAACTGATTTTTCTAAACATTTTATGCTAAACAGGATTTGCAACAGAGGCCTGCTAGTGTAGGCATGACTGGAGAATTTCGCCTCTGGACACCTAGAATTTCTAATCCCTTCTCACAGTTTGCTATGAAGATGTATGAATTAAAGACCAGGATCTGACACTGAGGGCTCTGATTCATCAGCAAATATGGCTTGCCTTGGGGTGGCTGGAATAATTTCCTCTGCTCTTGATCTTATTCTTCTCTGAGCATTTCCCTTGCCTACCCAGTGGGACAGCTCTGCTACCTGTGAAGCAGTTCTTGAACTGTTAGGTGATAGACCAGTGTATTAAAATAAGTTGACACTAATTCTTATTTAGTTTACAGCTGTAGTTCCTGCAGCTGTGAAAGCCTCTGGCTGTATGAGCAGCTGAGCCATCCCTAAGCAACCAGTGGATAAAGGGTAAGTGGATGGCCAGAGTGGACATCAAGGCAGCTGTCTGAATTTAGACCATCTCTGCTTGAGAATCAAAACCTTACTTATGTTAAGACCCCTCTGGCCATGTCCATTCTCTTAGTCCACTTGGACTCCTTAGCACCTCTAGATTAGAATAAAATGCAAAAGATAACAGGAGTTGAGTTGCAGATTTACTTTTTAATAGCCTAAATCTAGGTTTCATTCTCCTGGTAAACACTTGAGAAGAGTGTTTGTGGCAAATCAGCTGAAAAAATAAAATGTCTACATCTCAATGCACGAGGCCAATGTAAATAAATAAGTGCCTTATGACAAGCAAAGCAAATATTCCCTGTTATACTACTCAATCTTTCTGAATAAAATAGTGCACACAATAGTACACTAAATGAAGAGATCGTGCACATTTCTTTGCAATTATGTCATTTCATCATGGCACAAATTAATATATATGATGTGCCTGATTGTTCAGTAGCTTATATCTTCAAAAAATATTAATCAAAATACTTCTTTGGTCCACATTATTAATAAGTAAATTCAAAATAATAGAAAATCAGCCTAGTCTTCTTTGTTTCAGATTAATTAATTAGAAATAAAACAAAATATTTAGTAAGAAATTTGTATTTCAAATAAAGTTACTTGTATATTTCATTACAGCATTTTTAGAAAATAACTGTTCATATTGCTGCCATCAAAGAAGCTGCTTCCAGCCTGCACTTTGCCTGTCTTTGTAACCTGCAAGTTCATGTGAGATTACTTCTGATTACTGCTAAGATTTGGCTTGTGAGTCAGAACACTGCAACCAGAAGTAGTTCCGAAGAGACTTGTGTTTAACTTCTACTAAACCTCTTGATACTGTTAAATTCAATGTATATATTTCTGCTGAAACTCCTAGGAAGAAGACTAGGCCAATGACTCAAATTGTATTTGTGATGTACCTTCTACTGTCTACATTTGAGGGAAAACTTCACACAGATAGGGCAATCATTCAGTCTGCTATATGTAGTATAGTGGACAGTAACGTAGACTGAATAAGAGTTGTCACTCTTTCAAAGCAGCATTTGGTACAGAGTTCAAGAAAATAAAAGTTTACTGGACAGAAAGGTCAGAAGAAATACTCTGTCAGAGTCTGGAAAGTTCCTCTGAAATACTATGTCAGCATAAACAGGTTAGAAAGAAATCTGGTGAAATTACAACTGGAAAAGCCATTAAGTGAATTCTTGTATTACCCACTGATGGTTGCTCTCCCTGGTGTGAATGCAGTGGGGAGCAGGGGCCCCACTTCCATCAGAGGTCCTAGGAAGGTGGAGCACATTAAACTGCACAGCTTCCTTGTTTGCCAGCCAGTTTACTTTCCTACCAGGGCTGCAAGATGAGAACTAGTTAAGTATACAAATATGCACAAGTGTATGAGAAAGAAACCCTAGAAATTTTTTTAAGAGAAGAACCAGATACACAGGAGTATAGGTTTGAAAGTAGCTGTTTCTGTGTGACAATTTAGACTTTGTGTTCCCCTTCATTCTGGAGTCAGGATTGTTTTGGCCCAAGCATGCACAACTTTCATCTTCCCATCCTTTACATGTACTCCATGGCAATGATGCAACCTGTCTGCGTGATTAAGCCAGGGCTCAGCAATTTCCTCAGCCAGGACTTGTGTACAGGAGGGGGCTCAAGGGGAGATGTGACATGAGGAGTGGGACACGGAAGGCAGTGAATCCAAAACAGGCATCAAGAGGCAGAGGACCTGGGCAAGAGAAAAAAAAAATGGGCTGAAAGATAGAGATTATCTAAAAGGATGAATACTAGGTAGAATTGAATCTGTGTTTATCCTTCACCAAACCAAGCCTCAGAAGGGCCAGAACTTGGAGCACACTATCAGACCAAATTATCCACTGGGTCCTTAATCACTCTGCAAACACCAACTACAGTAGGATACAGTTTATACCAGTCTTGCACAGGAAGGAGAGCTGTCCTCGAACCCCGGAATAATAAAAATTAACATTCACAATTTTTATTTCTGCTGAAGGGGGTAATACAATTAGTCCTGTACAAAATGAAGATTAACTTTAATCACTGAAGAAGTATTTTTTTTTTTTTTCAAACTGCTTTTGTTTTAAACTCTGTACTCAGGAAGATCTGTTAACAAGCTCAGCACAGAACCTCTGAGAATCATTCATGAGACACTGGAAGAATCCACTGATTGGCTTTATGGCTTTATTTCTTTACTGTCTGACATCGTATGGAGTGATGATGATGACAGTGATGAAGGTATTTGTAATGTAAAGACTTCTGTAACTGCTCTAACTGCTGTTTTTACATGCATTATGTTGGCTTACTCAGCTTTTAACCTCACAGACAAGAAGGTCAAGCAAAATGAAAAGTGAATGCTGCTGCTAATAAAGCATCTACTGGCTATTCCAATCAGTAAATTGGTCTCTTTGTTAGCTTTCATCTCGTGTTTAATGTACCATTGCAGAAAAGCTGTCAGAATTAAATATTACCATTAGTACATCTTGAAGTAAAGAGTGCTAAATTATAGAAGACTTCAAAGCTGCAACCAAAATATGCATCAGGATATCGCTTCAGAGAATGGCAATAGCTATTTTCTTTTAATCTGCAAGAATCTAAAGAACCCAGGTAAACATACAAGATAGACGAAGAAACTTCGAATTTTTTATTTCATATATTAATGACTGGACCATATATCAAAACACAAAAAAAAGAGTAAAGAAAAAATATCTTTTTGGCTGAACTAAGGGGCTTTTTGATGGCATACAGCAAATAATTCAGTTTGTTAGAAATTTTAGTTCTTCTACTGTAGTAACATTCTTCGTCTGACATCATCTGATAAATTAAAGTAAATTGCTAGCATTTCAAGTTTGGAATTCACTATCCTTCTGTTCTAAAAAAAAAAGTAGTTCCATGGTATGAACAGAGCGGTAGTGGATCATCATGTCACATCGTATTGGTCATTTTGGCAAGCAGTGATTGTAGGAGTGACACCTTCATTTCACAGTGGTTTATTTTACATTCTATTTGGCTATACCAGAATATAACTGAAAAGCAACGTGTACTGAAACTGATTTCTACCTGTTTGTTCATAAAGTTGAGATATTATCAAATTTCTGCCTTTTAAATGTGTGCATGAGCTTTTTATATTAGCACCATATACGAATAGATAGGTTGCTATATGTGACACTGTGAAATGGGCATCCTATTCTGAGATATTATTTACAACCAAGAGAAAGCCACTGTCTCACGTGGTTGAGAAACAGAAAAGGCGAAACACAGAGAGCTAGCTAAAATATGAAAAAAATCCCAAAGCACCTGCAAGCTTACGAATGCTCGAGTGGATAAGTGTTAATGCAAGTAGGAAAGGTCATAAAATACTTGAAGTAAAAAAATTCAAGATCTGAATGCTCACTAAGAAGTGTTTGGAAACCTCAGTCCCACCAGCCTTTTGTTCAAGTGGAACGAAATATTCATCAATATCTACCAGAAGTGTGAAAAGGCAGTAGGCAACTTTCTGCGTTAGATCATAAAAAGTAGGTGCATGTAAACACCCTGCCCATTGAGTGCTGCAGTCAGTGCAGCGCAGGTTGCACGCTTTCCACGGTCGTTCAGGCTCACTCCTTCAAATTGCATGTCCTACATGGAGGTGGAACAACACACTGCAGCAATCAAGTGCTCATAGTTCCACTGAAATTTAGTATATTTTTTTGCCTTGGATTTCACTGGAAATGTTGCTAGACTTAAAACCTTGGTAATCTGCATACACATTTGACTGTTTAGAGCTAAAACATAGCCACTGGGCCTTTCCTTAAAACATGCAAACCTGCATAAAATCAAGCAAATTGCAAAATGTAGTCACAAGATAACATTCAGAAGCATAAACACAGATTTGGACGTGTCCTTGGTTGCTACTGCACATTGCATTTATCTACCTCAGGCCCAGGAAAACCTCTGTGGTAAGAGATCTGTTAAAAAAACCCAAAAAATCTCAGAATAGAGTGCTTGCCATTTAGCTTATAAAGACTAGAACTATTTTTTAAATTTAAACGAGCCATCATGAGAAAAAATATGATTTTTTTTATGATGATATATCTTCTCTGACATTTGTTCTTTTCTCTTGGTTTAGGTGAAGTGGAACCTTCCCTGACAAAAGGTTGGTCAGTTGCCTTACTATAGAGGGCAAATATTTTTCAACCATTTTAAGAATTAACTAGGATATCTGTGATATAGATTCAGTCATTAGTTACATGTCAGTCTACTAACCATGTAAATTGGAGCCATGAGCTTTAACAAACTCACTAAATAAGAAACTTAACAAGTAATAATACTTGCTGTATTTGCTGCTCTGTAAGAATTTGAGAAATGTTCAGTAAAAAATTATATAATTACAGAAATATTATCTGTACCTCTGACCTGCATATGAGACTCCTGTTAATGCCAATATGAGTTAAGTGTATGTCTGGATAGAAATAATATTTAGAAATAATAATATAGAAAGATTATTTAGTGAGAAATAAGTGAGGTGTTGTAAAAGCATTTTACTTTGTGCCAACACAAAATCCTAAAATAAGGACTACTTCTGACTCTTCTGAAAGAAATGACTTAGTTATTATTGAATTTTTAAAGCAGAGAAGTGAAGCAAGTAGGATATATAATATAAAACTTTTCAGACATGAATATTGTTGTGCTGAAACACAAAAGTTCAAATTCTATTAAATCAAAATGAAACATACTAGAAATCTTGAGATATCGGTGATGGGATGTAAAGCTTTTTAAAACTAGGATGTGTTTTTTTCTCCAAATCATGAACAGCTTGATAACAACAAGATGTGTAACCAGCTCTATGTGATCTCAATTTGATATCGGTCAAATTCTCAGTAGGTGAATGCCCATATTGAAGAATCTATCAACCTAGTTGGTGCTGAGATTACAATCCAGTTTCCTCTGAAGTTAATTGGAACTGGATCAGGCTTCTATTTAATGACACATTTTGTCAGTCTCAATAGGGCATCCAAGGAATTAATAGGCCTGAAGACAAGTGGATGCAACAAATCTGAAGCTGTAGTACATTGTTGACAGGGATGCTGGGTACATGGGTGGAAGGTGTCTACTCACCATGGTCTGCTGTAGCTGACCAGGCTGGAAGTACTGTGGAGATATTTCACTGCTGAGAAGGTTTAATACACAAAAACGTTATGGACAACACCAAGTTCAGCATTGCAATGCCTGCTTCTGTGGAAATCGGTGACATAATCACGCCTTACACATTGCGTTGGGACACATGCAGTGGCCAGCAGGTCAAGGGAGGAGATTCTGCCCCTCTACTCTGCTGTGGTGAGACCCCACTTGGGGTCCTGCGTCCAGCTCTGGAGCCCCCAGTACAAGAAAGACATGGGCCTGTTGGAGTGGGTCCAGGGGAGGGCCACAAAAATGATCCAAGGGCTGAAACACCTCTCCTGTGAGTTGGGGCTGTTTAGCCTGGAGAACACCAGGCTGCAGGGAGACCTTATTGCAGCCTTTCTGTACTTAAAGAGGGCTTATAAGAAAGATGGGGAGAAACTTTTAAGCAGGGCCTGTTGTGATAAGACAACGGGTAATGGTTTTAAACCAAAAGAGGGTAGATTTAGACTAGATACAAAGAAGAAATTTGTTACAGTGAGAGTGGTGAAACACTGGACCCGGTTGCACAGACAGGTGATAGATGCCCCATCCCTGGAAACATTCAAGGTCAGGTTGGATGGGGCTCTGAGCAGCCTGATCTGTTTGAGAAAGTCCCTGCTCACTGCACAGGGGTTGGACTAGATGACCTTTAGAGGTCCCTTCAAACCCAAAATATTCTATGATTCTATGATTCTGTGATTCTATGACACTAGGCTGTAGGAATAGAATTAAGAGAAACCATCAAAATAAGCTGGAAGCTGCTTAAATTAGTCAGTTGGAAGGGATGAGATGATTGTTCAGACCTGAAAGTCCTCCAGCCAAGGAGATGAGTATCTAACTGCCAGCTTCAAATGTTTTCCCCAGTATTCAAAGCTTACCACCCTGCTCTGGGGATAAATATGTGGAAGTCTTCGTTCTTTGATGTGAAGGTGATGAACAAGGAGCTGGTGATTCTTCTGGAGCTGGTAGCTTACAGGATAAATCAGTCACAAAAACATGAAAGGGCCCAAATTCAAACATACTCCATATGCCAGTAAAACAGATTTTGAGTGGGCTTTTCCACTTCCTGGATGCATGCTCCAGATCTTTCCCTCCGTCTTTCAGAAGATGAGGAGTCCCATCCTTGTCTCCCTGAAAAAAATGCTGTTTCTTTACTGAGACTGGTGAAGAAAGTGGTCGAAGATCCTTGCTGGGTATAGCTGTTAGCTTCCACATAGCAACGTCTTCAGACAACTTGTTGCCATCTCCAGATGACTGGAGCTCTCCATTTAATCCTGGCAGCTAGAATCTGGCCTTGATCATGCTTGGTTTTGTCACCTTTGTTTCTGGGCTACAGAAATACAACAGACATGGCCTGAAGCCAACAGTCCCTTATAAATGCCAGGGCAAGAGCATTGCATATGTCTGCTCAGTGACAGGCAGCCGCGAGCTCCTCAGGGCTGTCACTGTCTCTTTTTGCAGGCTCCTCTTAAAATTGTGTAAACATCAAGGAGCTGAATTGCCTGGGTCTAAGCCTGTATAGAAGTTTTCTGAGAGCTCTGTGGTAAAGTCTAGAGTCAACTTATTTTCTGCTTAGGTGCAGTGGAATTCACTCCCAGGCCTAAAGCTCGTGAACACAGAAGGCAAAGCCCTGGGAGAGGAGGGTAGGGCTCAGGAGAGCACATGCAGGTAACTCTCTCACAAGAATCTCAATCTGTTCCTCTGAGCACAAGGTGCAGGACTCTTTGAGCAGCTTTTCCTAACTAATGTGTGCTGTCATGTCTATCGTCCAGAAATAAGAGTTCCAGAAAAAAAGCTTTCTAAAACAGAAAAAGACATTGCATCCATGACTTTTCCCGTGTGACTGCTGTGACATATGGACCCAAAGGAGAGCCAGCTATGAAAATTTGGTGATTTCTTGGGTATCAAAATTTTAGCAGTTAGATCCACAAAATGAGAACCAAATAATTAGGCTATGGAGTACTCTTTGCCTTCATTTAAAGGACCATTTCTGCACCAAAGTCTCTTCCACTCTGTGCAGCATTGCTACCTATAGCTTTGTACATTAGCCTTGATTAGGTGGCTTTTCTTATCCTTGTGGCATTTGAACATCCTAAACAGAAAATGACCTAGTGAGATTGTTCAGTACACTACTGCCATCTCCAGAAGATAAAAAGTTAGACTTTTTTCACATATTTACAGGAAACATCTCTCAAATGTCATGCTAAAAATACGCATTATGATTGTTGTGCCTGATTTTTAAGTATTTGTATTGGATCTAATCCACAGTTATTGTGGTATCCATTAATGGGCTGAGAGTTTTTGAATAATTTCCCTACCTATTTTTGGTGTGTGGAAAAGCCTTCTATCTTATGCTTTGTTGACTAGCAGATTTTATGAATGCTAAAATGTTGGCACACAATTTACTTTATAATGGAATATAGTAACTGAGAAAATAATATTGCTGGTATCATAGTACAATTACATATTGAAAAAAAAATCAAGCGGAGTGATAAGGACACTGTGTAGCAATGAAGAAAGAGAAGTGCAATGATAATTATGAGCCCAAAGACAGCAAATATCACCTTCCTAGAGACTGAAAGCAAAGATAATAAAAGTACAAATAGTGACAATGGGCTTGCACATGCAACAGGACTAATATCAGTTTCAGAATCCTTTAGAAAGGATGAAAATGCCTCTTGAGTGCCTTTTTTATTGCAATTATTTTTGCCAGTCCAAGTCTTATCACTAATATTTATCTTTAATAATTGGAAACGAGTGAATATTTGATATTGTCTGGAAAAAAATGTGTTCTTCAGTGAAGATAGTGAAAGATTATTCTGTGGAGAACTTTGCAGTCTTTAACAATGCATATTCTCAAAATCCTAAAATTACAGAGCATTTTCACAAAAGATAGTGAGAATCTTAATAACAGTTTCTTGCAGGCTTAATATATTTTTGGCTTCATTCCTTTCTAGAGCAATGGATATGACAGATAATCTTGTTCATTTCTTCAGGGTTAGTTTAACCTTTAGAGACAAATCCAATTATTTGACAGCAGTGTGTTTTCTCATGTTTTGTCCCTTTTTACTAGAAATTGTTGTTATAGAAAAATAGAGAAATATTTATTATTGTTTGGTGGACATTATTGACATCATTTGTGAGTTTGGAGGAGAGCTGAGAAACCTGGTGCACAAAATTGGAAATAATAATCTGTAAAATACAGGCAAGTGCAGACACTTCAGCATTGTCAGCCATTGCTAAAAATGTCATTATTAAACTGTTCTTTGACTTCACTCTAGTTTACATGAGGGTAGCTGAAAATTTAAAATCGGAACATGAATTCCTCATTTAGCTAGCCAGGGTACACCAGACAAACTGTGCACACACAACAGTGGTTTTTGAATCTTAAAGTAGCATCTTCTGCTGCTTGAAAATGGCCAATGCGTTCTGGCTGGGAAAAGTGAATCTGGTATATGGTCTTAGGAGTAAGTTATTGGAAACCTTTGAAAAAGATTCTAAGGTCAGAATCATTTGGTTTTTTACTTTATAATTTGAAGCTTTGGTAATTGTTTTTTGTAAGATATCTTTCCCTGCTTTTATATTTGAGCGCAGATTAAATCTCTCTGTCTTTCTCTTTCTCTTGCTCTCTCTTGCAGTCTCTTTCGCACACACAGACGCACATGTAGGTCACTATGTAAGTAATTCTCATTTCAATAAATACAATTAACTCAGAAATCAGAGTAAGAAATAAAGCATCGTCATGACACTCTTAACCATCTCTGAGTTACCAAATAGGTTTTTATTGGCATAAAATTATGCAATACAAACAATCCAAAGAATCTTGATTTTGCTGTGTAGAGATGGATCTCTAAATTTCCATGAGTTACCCTGTGTATGAGATAAGAAGATATATACAATCCACTTTTGTTCAGAAAAATGCAGTTAAAAATCATATTTTAAAACCAGAAGCCACAAACAGCAGTAATTTGTGTCAGAGAGAGTAAGAAATTT